GTAAATTATGGGAGCATAACTACAATGACAGATCAGCATCTGAAAGAATTCGCATGGGGGCTTGCAAATAGCAAGCACCCATTTTTGTGGATTGTTAGGCCTGATGTGGTCGAGGGAGACTCAGCTATTTTACCCGATGAATTTTTTGAGGAGATTAAGGATAGGGGTTATATAGCAAGCTGGTGTCTACAGGACCAAGTGCTAGCTCATCCATCTGTTGGAGCTTTTTTAACACACTGTGGCTGGAACTCCACTATTGAAAGTGTATCCGAAGGCGTGCCTGTAATTTGCTGGCCTTTCTTTGCTGAGCAACAAACGAATTGTCGATACGCATGCACTGACTGGGAGATTGGAATGGAGGTGAGCCCCGATGTGAAGCGTGACGAAATTGAAGCACTTGTTAAGGAAATGCTGGAAGGGGAAAAGGGGATGAAGATGAAGCAAAAGGCAAAAGAATGGAAGAAAAAAGCTGTAGAAGCTACTGATATTGGAGGATCATCGTACAATAATTTTGATAGATTGATTAAGTCTCTCCATTAAGGTGGATGACTGCTACAATGAGGAACAAATGTGATTCCTTGTCAAGAACTCCCAAATATATATATATATATATGCTTTTATTTGCAAGGGGGTTTTATCTTATTTTCATGTTCAAGTGCTGTAATAATAATGTTTATGTTTTATTTGGACCTCAGTTGTTTCTCTAGTTGTTTGTAGCCCAACTCTGTTACAGTTCCAATCAGACTTGGCTAAGCTTATGAATAAAATTAATATTTCCGTTCCGCCTTCTAGTTTGTTCCATATGCATATATATGATTGATACTCGTATTACCTGTTGATTATGTATTGGGTCGATTTCTGTTTTAGATTTCGAAGCGTTTCAAAAGCTAAGGGTTCATTTGGTATTCTATTTTAATACAGTTTTTTTAAATTTAAAAACAGAATTTGACTTAGTAGACCCATTTTTCAAAACTCAAACTAGAAAATACCCCAAATACTCAGAAAAAATATATATTTTTAGAATTTTCTTAAAGCCCCCTCCCTTGCTCAAAATTTTTAAGATTTAGAAACAGTTTTGAAGCTGCATATCAAAAAGTTTTTGAGTTCCTCCCCCTGACATATTACATAATTAGTACTAGTCTTTTCACGCGCGTTTTCGCGCTTGCGAGAGACCTTTTTTAAACAAATTTAAATTTATTTTAGAATTATAAAAGATAATGAATTGTTGTGTTCCATAAAAATAGGATCCATTATCTGATTTTTCTTTTAACTTTAATTTTTTTAATATGAAAAAGTGTGAATTTACCATATTATCCTCATTTAATTAATAATTTCAATTCTTAGTCGAACTTAGAAACAGGGGCAACCTCCTCAGCTCATCCTTTATAGCAGCCCAAGCCCATTCGTCTAGCTGCTGGAACAAAAAGACCCCAACAAAATTTAATGTACTTTTATGTAGAATTTTGAACACACAACTCTGATAAATTTTTACAAAAAGAAGGTAGGACACAAAAACCTCCCACTTTCATTTAGAAAGATAAGTTGAATAACAAAACAAGACAAAAGCCAATGAATATGATGAGATAAGATCACCAAGACTGGATGTGTTCCAAAAAAAAAAAGATCAGGACTGGAAGGCGAATTTATAGTTGGTAAAAATATAATAAAAGAAGCCATGATAACTGAAAAATCTTAAATATTAGATCAGCGGCTAAAACAACAGACTTCCTCCATATCTAGTTGCAGCTTTTGCCTCTTGCCTCTTGCCTCTTGCCTCTTGCCAAGTAAAAATTTACCCAAGATGGCTCCAGTTGGAGACAGAACACAACAACCCCATGTAGTTTGTGTCCCCTACCCTTCACAAGGGCATGTTAGCCCTATGATGCAATTAGCCAAGCTCCTACACTCAAAGGGCTTTCACATAACCTTTGTCAACTCTGAGTTCAACCACAGGCGCCTCATCAGGTCTCAAGGGCACCCATCATCCCTTGTCGGCTTACCTGGCTTTAGATTTGAGGCCATACCAGATGGGCTTCCACCATCTGACAAAGATGCTACCCAAGATGTTCCTGCACTCAGTGATTCCATCAGAAAAAACTGTCTTAGTCCCTTCAAAGAGCTTCTAGTTAAGCTTGGTGAATTGTCTGAAGTGCCCCCAGTTACTTGCGTAATTTCAGATGGGGTCATGGGGTTTGGGAGCAGAGCTGCTGTGGAATTGGGCATTCCAGAGGTTCAGTTTTGGACTGCCTCTGCTTGTGGCTTCATGGGTTACTTGCAGTATAGCGAACTCCTAAAAAGAGGCTTGGTTCCATTCAAAGGTACTCATTTTTTCTTCTTCTTGTTTTCATTCAAGCCATCAATTTTAAGGGTTTCAAGGAATCTTAATATATTAAGTGTTAGTTAATGAATAGATATGAAGAATTACTTGCTTTGACAAATTTGTTGAAATATGCAGAATTAATCTTTATATGACTATCAGCTCTTAATCTGATCACAAACTTCCATTACATGTATGTGTTTCAGAGAAAAACTTGAATAATCAAGATGATCCACTTGATGTGCTAATCGATTGGATCCCGGGCATGAAAAATGTTAGGCTCAAAGACATCCCTTACCATCCTAACGAAATAATGTTTGATTTCATGGGATCAGAAGCACAAA